CCTGTCCTGGCATCTATTTAAACAAGCTTGTTAAGTAGGTTACTCACTGCTTTGTTCTGCTTCCTTTACTTTCAATATATCTTGTTAGTATCAAATTTTCCAAGCCCTTTTTCCTTATATGTCCTAGAAATTTCAACTCTCTCTCTCTTTCTAATTATAAGTGTCCTTTTTATTTCTATTTTTTTCTTAAAACCTCCTCATTACTCAGATGGTATTCTTGGCATCCTTATGTAGAAATTTTAGTTGCCTCTAGTTTCTTTATCTGTGAGATGATTGTCCAACATTCACTGCCAGAGGAGGATTGCTATTGCATGGCAGTTTAGTACCCTTTTCTTTGTTTCTAACAAAATTTTCCTCTTTCTTAATACTTTGCTTAGCTTATGGACAGCATGTTTCCCTACTTCAATATGTCTTTGGATTTAGAAGTTATATTTTTCACTTTTAAAATTTTTTATTTAGTCATTTCACCCTCAAGCAAGGCGATAATGCTAGTAGGATGCAGGGCATTACAGACACTAAAAAAGAATGAGATGACATTAGTGAAGAGAAAAAAAATTGTTTAAATAGAAGTGGCAGTTGCATCTAGGTAGTTCAACAAGTACAATGGTGAAAGCTAGTTGTATTCCTAAATTCATGTTGTTGAAGCATTAGGGCAAAAAAAAGCTCATCAGAACAGTTACCATGAAAATATTTGTGGAAAAGACAGAGGTAAACAACATCTTGTTTGTGAGAAAGTGACTGAAGTTGAGATGTCAGGATTGATTAAATCGCAGAACCTTCTTTGAATTTTGTCAAGAATTTCAAGATATACAGCAGGAGCACCAGAGCAGATATGGCAGCAGTATCCGATGTGTGGATGAATGGTAGATTTATAAATATGCAAGATGGATTCTGACTAGAAATTTTCTGGCATGACACAGAGAACCAACTTTTCTGGCAAGATATATTGCAATTGATGCAGTACAGTTGCTCCACTTCATGTCAGTAGAAAATATGAGCTCCAGAAAGTGTTGTTCTCCTAGAGTTTAGCATCAGCCATGCTGATGCCAAGCAAAAAAGGTTCTCTGTGATCTGTTTTGGAGGCATTAAAATTTACAAGCCATTTCATATCCTAGTTAGCCACTGATTGGAGGTTCTTTTTGAAAGCAGCTGCCAGCTTTACTTTGTCAGATCTGTTGGACTCACCAATTAGACATGAGTAAATCATTCTGTTATCTGCATAAATATCTAGTTGGGAACTGATGACATTGGGAAGTTAATTGATGAATTTTATTAAAAGTGTAGGTTCAAGTTTAAAACCCTGGGGGACTTGTGCATTAGTATGGAATGATCTGAAATTGTACCCATCCAACACTATCTTCATTACACAATATGTTAGGAATGATTTGGATTAAGTCAAATATTCATCCCGTAACACTATCCCTTGAGCTTGCCGAGAAGGCCAGAATACCAAACCCTGTTGAATGCCTTTGAGATTTCTAGAGCGACAAGCAAAGTTTTGTCATTCTTATTTAAAGCTTGACAGACAAATTCAGTGATGCTGTTAACACATCAGCGCTAGGCCTGGTGAAATGGAATCCATATTGATTGTCAAAAAAAAGGGCCATGTGAAGTAAGATACTTAACCAATTTAGCATTGATGAGAGCCTTGAGTACTTTGCCAAAAAGAGTTAAGAGACTAATAGGGCAATGATCTGAGGGGTCAAAGTTCCCTGTTGTTCTTAAAAACAGGAACTACGTTGGACTTTCAACTTGCTGGAAAGCTAGAAATGGCCAAGGCATTTGTTGTAAAGTTTGGAGAGAACAGGAGTTGGTTCAGGAGAATATTTCTTTAGGATGACTGCAGGGATACCATCAAATCTATATGCCTTGTGGGAGATCTTATTTAGAAATGATAGAAACCAAGGATGTAGTTGTGTGCATATATCTCAGTGTAGCCTCCATTTTAGGAGGAAAATCAGGCAGAGATACTTTAGATGAGTCGAGGATGGAATTGGAAGAGAAGCAAAACACTCTACTTTATCTGCAGTAGATGTCAATAATTCAAATTGATTCAAGAGAGGAAGGACTGAAGATTTGTATTTGTTTGAGGACATGCTTGCACTCATTATGAGCATTGACAAAGAAACATTTGTTACAATTAGACCTGTTGTTCTGCTATAGGTGGAAGAAGTAATTCCTGTGGGTTATAATGGTTGAACAGATGAACTAAGAAGATTGTGGTTTCATTTGGTATTTCTGTGCTGGTATGAAAGCTTTGATGCTGGCTTTCACTCTTGGAGAGACCTTAATAACACTGTTAAAACACTTCTATGATAGATATTTGAATTTTTGTACTTGCTTAATTGTGGTATCTCCAATTTGTAGTTGGCATCTTGGGTTGTTTCTCTTTCTGGCAACCATGCATTGTCCTCTTACAATTGATGTTTCATACTTTCTCCTTTAAGCACAAATTTTAAAGGATTCTTAACTTAGTTATATGTGCATAGCACATCTATTTAACTTTATATTTCATCTTACTGCTTAACTTGAAAAGTGTCATTAATTTTCGTAAAAACTCATTTGTTTTTTTTTTTTTTTGTTTTTTTTTTTTTTTTTTTTTTTTTTTTTTTTTTTCCTTGGCTTCACACCACTTTAGTTTTATGAAAGACCAACCTTACTGTAAGTTTTTTTGGTTTTTTTTTAATTTTATTTATTACCCTTAAAAAGATCTATCTTGATGCCAAAGGTTAAGGTTTGGGATCTGCTGTAATTGATATGGAAAGGTTCCAAATATGCCAGTATTCTGTACTATTTATGCTTATGCATATATTTATTTTTTATTTTTTATTTTTTTTACTCATACAGTTCTTTGTAACTATTTAACCCCCTTCTTGCAAAAGAATCCCAAACCTATATGCACAAGTTATACTTTTTGTAATTATCACATTACTGTCAATTGTAGTAAGAATCTCATGCTAGGTTATTTTGTGAGGTCTGAGAATGTGCAAAAGTTTTTTTCATTATAAATTAGATCGCTAATTGCTTTTTCAGCTTATAAAAAGTTTCATCAGAATGTTCTTTCAGATAGTAGGAAAACTGTATGTGCAAGGAATACACTGAAAATATGCCCCTATTTTAATATATTGATACATGGCCCACCATGCCAAAGGCAGTTAGTAATATGGCAGTAGATGTGGAATCTTCTTGCCAATTTTTTTTTTTTTTTTTTTTTTTAAATCTTGTTATAGATAGCAGTCTGACAAAATGATGCCTGGCATGAAAGTTTGTATGAAACACAGATGTGTCATTGAATTTCACTCATTGTCACTTATTGATGCTTGAATGTTTGTGAACAAACTGGGATATGAGCAGTTAGACAGTGGTGGGCAATGTTTCAGCATTTCTTACAGCAATGTATATGATGAACCATATTCAGGCAGCCCTGCACAGCTATCAAGCTAAAAATGAAAATTTGTTTCTAATTGCTGGCAAAAATGAATGTCCAGTGGTAATAACTGGAAAAATTGTTTGTAGTTGAAAGCTTGTTTTATCCAATGTTGTTTATTGTTCTATCTGTAATAGTTTCTGTAGAAATAAACAAGAGGCATTCAATATCCACTGTATATACTCTTCAAAGTATGAACTATTATAAAATGAGTGAACTTGAAATGACACAAGTAGATTTTTTTCTAAGAGTAGTGCAAATGGTAGTAAAACAAAAGTTTAAATTTGAAGTTTTCTTTATTTTTTTTTTTTTTCCTTTATTTTTTTTAGTAAGTAAATTTTTCTAAAGTATTTCACTCTTTCTGGCCAGACTATATCAATAAATATTATGTATTTCTTTCTACTTTTTAAGATGGGTGAGGAAAAATGCATAAACTATGAAAATTGTTCTCTCAACAAAATCTCTCCTCCTATTGCGTTATATTTGGCAAAATATTTTTACTAGCAAGTAGAAGAAATAAATAGAAGAACTGAAATATGTTTAGTCATATTTTTTAATATTTATTTTATTTTATTTATATAAAAAGAATACTGTTATTTATGTATTTGTAATGACTGAATAACTGCTATATTTTGTGTGAGGTGTGGTGGAATAGAAAAATTATTTAATATTCAGTGATATATTTCTAATGTCAATATTTGTAATATTATTTTAATTTTTTTTAGATATTCTTCAGTATAATAGATAGAATACAGCTACAGATGATCATTTACTATCAATTCATTTTATTTTTTTTATTTTGTTTTTGCATTGGTGAGGAGAGGGAGAGGATTATTTTATCGTCTGTAGTCTATACCTGTGCCAGGCTCTTTGCAACTCTTTCACATCTGGCCTCTTTTAACATTTTCCATCAAATTCAATCTCTGCAACATAGTTCTTATGTTCCACCAGTAAAGGAGAAAAAAGCCCAGAACTGTTTTAGCACTGACACTTCCCTCCCCAGAAAACTTTTTTATTTTCTAGGAAAATAATGCAACTAAATGTAGAAACAAATGCAATAATTTATTACTTTATTATAATTACTAACAAGAGGAATACAATGTTCCATCTTGTATATTTTCTAACTTAAGTACTTATTTATCACCTTACAAAATATTATACTTGATTTTGAATACCTGCTTTAGGTAAGAAATATTTTTATTCTTTTTTGTTACTTCCTCTACTCTTGTAAAGTGTAAAAAAGAAAAAAAAAGGGGGGAGGGGTCTGTAAAGCATATCTGTAAAGTTTGCTTTGTGCTACTGCTATCTGATGAGTTAAGAGTGGGCCATCTGCTCAAAAAGATACTCTTCTGCTGGAGGATAGTGTCTCTGTACATAGTTCATTCCTGAACCTCATCTGAGAGAGGAGGTTGCTACTGTCCTGTTGGAACTGGTAAACATAATTGTGATGTTGTAACCTGGAAGAGACTTGGGAATTGAAGGTAGGGATGATTTGAGTGATGTAGTACAAGATTTTGCCAGCTGGTTGTTTCTATTGGTTGCACTGAGAGGATGTAATTAAGCTTCCACTTTCATGAAACCATTCTGTTTCCTGCATTTAACAAGAGAAAGAAAAGCAAAATCAACACTGTATATAGGCATCACTCTCTCTCTCTTTCCTTGTCTCATTTCCTTACTGAGTATCTGTTCTGTTTTCTTCTCCACCCTTCTTTCTGTTGTTGCTAGTGTTCTTTCCTCTCACTACTTTTGTCAGTACTTTAATGCTGAGTCTGCTGTAGGGGCTGGCTCTTTAGGAACTCTTCTATGCAGCCAAAAGAGTAAGCCACGTTTACAACTAGAGTTATGACTTAATATTTTTATTTTTTTTTATCTTTTTAATGGTAAGTTTGTATCTATGCTTGTTTTTAATCTAGCTATATAAACACACACACACACACACACACACACGATTTATTTTTGGTAAATATTGCATTTTCTTGTACTCTGGAGTTGTTTTAGAGATCTTTTATTAAAGATGAAGGTCATTTGTTTACAATTTCTCATTTTTGGTGCTCTTGAATGTTTCATTTTTATGAAAATTTTGATAGGTCAAATACACTGGATATGAAAATTATCCTAGCTGAGCCTATTTTATATGCACAGTATTTAAAATAATTGATGCAGGAGAACAGTTTTGGAAAATCTTTCTACCAAATGCTCATTAATGAAATATCTTTCCCATACTAAAGAAATATGAAAAAAAAATAACATTTAAAAATTTTTTCATTTATTTAACTTTTTATTTTGTCCCTATTTTAAGCAAATAACAGCTGAAAATATCACAACCTGATCCACTTATCAAAATCTAGCTGTATGGTCAAACATCAGATTTTAGAAAGCATCTTGGTTGAGCTGAGAACTTTTCAGTACTGCTCATAAATAGGATTAAGTCTCCCCGTCTAATGTTATTTTTAAAGCTTTAAGTATTAAAGTTTGGCACAAGGCCAATCGATTATACTGCAATAATGAAGTATGTGACGTCAACTTGCTAATTCACTGTTTTAAAGCTGCATCATTTGTTGCTTATGAATAGAAGAAAAATGATATAGCATTGAAATATAACTTGGCAGAGGGATAAGAATTACCTTTTTAGATTTCTAACCATTTCACCACATCTGAAATTGTGTTAAATTTATATTTTCTAATATTAACTTTCATTATAATTTGTTTTAGTTTTAAGTCTAAAAAAATATATGAAGCATTAAAATGTTAGGTGAGCATTGGTTTCTACGCCTAATACATATTTTGTGTGTATATATATATATATATATCAACTGTTTATTTACTCTTATTTTTTACTTGGATGTTATTTGTAGATTTTTAAAAATTTTAACTCAATGCTTAGGAATATTTCTCAAGTTGCATCAAATGATAGCTCTAGAAAGAAAAAAAAATTACTTAATTGTTCAAAATTTATTCAAATATTGTTGCATTTCATTTTTTAATTTTTAAGTATTTTATTTGATTTCATAACTACTGTAGTAAATTTAATCTTTATGAAGTGCACAAATGTTAAGGTAAAGATTTAGAATTTTTACATAGGCATTTTCATTATTATTGTTTTACTAATAGTTTCATATTCCTATTGTAATGCATTTTTCAGCTGCATATCAAATTTCAGTTAATTTGATATTGAGTGTTAATTTGTATTGTTGATTGCTTTCTTTCTGTTGTAAATCTAAAAGTAATTTAGTATGAATAACTTTGACCTTACAACTTTTGATGAGGAATTAAAACTTTGATCTTTAGTATAATGTTATGAAAATTCCTCTATGCAAAAAAATTGTTTACTTGTATAAGCAGGTTGGTAGGAAATCTTCTCATTTGTACATTTCAGCCTATCTACACATGTTTTTGATTGGCTATTGGAAGTTTTTTTTCATATGTTAAATGAGTTGGTTGATGAGCATCTCTCATGAGGATTAACAAATGTATTTGATTTCTTTTGTTCACTTGGCATTTTACTCTTTTACAGATTTATTTAAATTTATGATTGGTTATCAACTTCTTAAATGTTTTAAAATATCTTTTACATTTCAAGACTGAAAATTGTAAAACTACTTGTTTTTATTTTAAATTTTCATGTTATTTAAACAAAGAATACATTTATTTTGGGTAATCTTTGGTGTTCTACTTGGATATATTAAAATTTTGAACTTTTACAGATAAGAACAAATCAGTTGGTAAATTTAAATTTTTATACCACACTAATTTAATTGCTATACAATAGATTACAATACTGTAGCTACTCAGTGTCACCTTGTAAACACACTGAAGCTGATATTGTCTCTTTATGAAGTCGGTGTTGATTTTAAAATTGTTTGATTTTTACACACACATTGCAAATATGAAAATTTTGAGTTGATATTCTTTAAGAGTTACAATTGTTTGTTTGTTTAAATATCTGCTACTTTTTTTAAGGTTAGGTTAATTTTTTTATAACTTTAAGATAGGCTGTAATTTTTATAATTTTGTCTTTAATCTCCCTTATTTGTAAATTGCAGCAATGTAAATTGTTTAGATTGACTGGCAAAATGTTGTGGCGTTTAAGACCAGTGACATTCAGTTTTATTGATGTATAGATACATAGAAATATTTCAACATTTGAAATTACTTTTGTGAACAAATACATTTTGTTTTGAATTTTCCTTAAGTAAAGCAGTATTGTGAATAAAGTATATATATTGGTGCATAAATACTTTTTGTTATGTACTTCCAAACCTTAGAACTTAATCTCCAGAAATACATTTCTATTCATATGGTAGCAAACTTCAGTGTATTTTTTAAATTTTGTTTTCTAAATTTAATTGTAAATTGGTATGTCAGCATGACTGATTCTATATATTGTGATGGTAAATAGATAAATGTTAGAATTTAGTTTCTTGCAAAATTTTATATTTGCAAATATTCCTTTATATTTACTGCAGTATGAATGTTTCTTGTGTGAATATTTTGTTTGATGGTTTATTCAGATTACCCCATGCTATTTTGAATTTCATTAAACTTTGCTTTGTGGGGTATTAATGTTTTTAGTTTGTTTGTTTTTTAAATCATTTTTCAGTTTTTTAGTTTGGAGTGTCATGGCAGTAGAGATGATTGAATATTTTATTTATGCATACACACACACAATATGTATTTGTCAGATTCCTGATAAATGAATTGGTAGCCCAGGGATTAAACCAAATTCCTGTAAATTACATTAATCAAAAAATATATTTCAGAAGATATAATTTTAATTTACTGATTGGTAATTGAAATACAAAGGAAAGATTTAATTTGGAATTGCTTACAAATTAAACAGTCAAAAATATTTGAATTTTTTTAATCAGTTCACTCTAAGCAAGTCAATAAACCATTAAGATGCAAGAGGTCACTGAGTATTAGAGAATATGAGAAAAAAGCACTATTAAGAAGAGAGAAAAATAAAAGAGCAAGAATTAGACAGAAGATAACAATTGACATTGCATTTAGATTTTTGAAGATCAAAGTTAAATTGTTAGCATAGAACATTGTGTTCTATTCTAAGTTTCTTTTTAAAATTTAAATTTTTCTTTAAGAAAAACTGATTAAATACCAATATTGTTGAATAATTTTTAAATATATTATTACATCTAATAGAAAAACTACTGTAAATAACTATTCAGCTTAATATATTGTTATAGTCAAGAAGCTCTTCAAATATTTTGTAGTTTACAACAAATATTAGAGTAAATTTGGTTATGAACTGTGAGCAATCTATCTATAGATTTCCATTTGATATTTGTCTATCTACTTGGTTTTTATGAACATAAAAAGAAAAAAAAAGAAACTTCTGACAAAACTGCAAAAATATTTTCAAATATTTATTCAGATGTTTTTTATATAACAGTATTAAAATTATCAACTATAAATAAAAATTTTGATTATGAATATTGGATTGTTTGGAAAGGAATAACATAAAAAAAAATATATGCAAACTTGGAATCCACAACTGCAAGAGAAAGGTTTAATAGTTTAAAGGGAAAATTTTTTTTTTTTTTTTTTTTTTGTCCTGACCCACTTTCTAAAATTTAGCTGAACCCTTTTTAATTTTTGATCCATTTTTGGAAAAGGTTGCCCCCCCCCCAAAGATTCAACAGTTCCCTGTGGGAAAATGTTTTTTTTTTTTTTTTTATAGAATAGAATTACAAACTGATGTTACACTAAAGTCCTTTCCATTCAAGTAATAGTAGTCCAGGGTGACAATTTATACCAATTTTAGTATTTATCATATAATTTTCAGAGGTAAAGGTCATTCAAAAAACAAACAAATGGCCATCATTTGCTTAGAGAGATTCATATTTATTGGAATAGCATAAAGTATGGATGCCTCCTTTTTGTGCACTTAGTTTCATTTTTTTTTTTTTTTATAGGTATATATATATATATATATATATATATTTTTTTTTTTTTTATAGGTATATATTTTTTTTTTTTTTTTTTTTTAAATAATAATTGTATTTTTTATTATACATACTTGCTTCTTCCTCACATTTATTTCAAAGTATGTAACAATGGCAAACCAGCATGCATATATTATTTACCATTGTCATATGACAAAATTTTCCAGCAATACAGATCTGCTTTTCAAAGACATACCTATATAGCATCTTCATCTATTGAGTACTTGCCAAACATCCGAGATATTTGTTTATAAAAGAAGATCTAATGTACTGGAGTGAATTGTATAAATATATATTCATTTATATTTTTTTATTGTTTAAGGCTGTGTTGAATATATATATTTTTTTTTATCTCTAGTACTGTGGGATCAGTTCAGAATACATTTTTGGGCAAGATGGAGAAAAATTGCATTCTATTGTTCCTAGATTTCATAAACTAATTGCTTTGATGACTTGTTTTCTTATTTTCTCCTTATCATTTCACTACTACAAAGACCTGTATCCTGAAGAATTCTTGTTCAACATTTTTCTCCTATTTCACTAATCAAATCTTCCTCTGTACATGTCATTTTTGATGGAATAAAATATTCAGTTCTATAAGAATATGTCAATTCTCAATATTCATTCTACTTTGTAGAAATCTTTTTGTTATAGCATTGTCAACTGCTTGGAAGTCATGCTCATTGTCTTCCTTCATATAATTTCATTGTGAATGATTTACTAAATGAAATAGTTTTATTTAGGAAATCCAAGAATGAGACTGTCTTGCTTTTAAATGAATTGTTAACAGAACTTCAGAATAATACTTATTTTGTGTTTGCAAGAGTGGCAGATTTTTTTTCTCTTTAATAATCTTGTCTTTTGATTAGACCTATTACTTATTTGATATAGTTTAGTGCCTTTGTTACATTCGCTGGAAGACTGCTTTAAGCTAGTTGTTGTTGTGCCTTGTTGTATACATAATTTTGTTCATAAAAATTTGAAATCATGGTTATTGTATGAAAATAATGGATAAAAAATTTCTGAAATGAAATGTTAATACTGATATTTTTCATGCACATGAAAAATTTTGTTTGAATGAAGACTATTTTCTTGGTGTGGAGAATTTGTCATTAGAGTAGGCATGTAAGAGAAAAAACATGTTATTGTGAAATCTTTTATTGTCTGTTAATAAATAATCTGTTAAAGAATTTATGCTAGGGAGATTATTTTTGAAAATATTTGCTAAAACATTTTTATTTGAAGAAAAATTGCAGTTGTAATTTTTAATGTCAGTAATTTAGATTGTTTGGATCTACATGCTAATTGAAATTTTTTTTTTTTTTTTCCTAGTGGCGGCATGATTTGGTGAGTATGTCTTAATATTTGCTTGTTAAAAAATTTCAATCATTTGTTTGTTTTTTTTTTTTATTCTTATAAATATTGCAACAAATAGTGGGATTTTTATTTATTCCTCTTTTTAAAAGCCTTTTTTCTATTGATACTCTTCAGAGACATTGTCAGGGAACCATGAACAAATGTAATTTTTATTACATTTGTTCATGATTCACTAACAATATACCCCTGAAGAGTGTCAACAGAAAAAAAAAAAGTTTAGCTTTTACTCAGTAAAAGGAGATCAAAAATAGGTAAAATCCAAAAAGGTAGGGAGGTGATTGGAACGCTGTATTTCATGAGGTTTAATATTAGGTATTCTTTCTGCTAGCTTAGGGATGATTGCCTCATCTTCATGCAAATGGCCTCCAATTTCTTTATAAGTTATGAGTGAACTGCATTAACAATTGCAAAATACTCATCTTTATATATGTTCATGTTTTCAAATGTTGACCAGTGGCAGAGAATCCAAAGTTCAGAGGTACAAAACAGCTGTTCAAACACTTGCGTTGTATAATGGCTAGAATGTGTGTTTGTTTTTTGTTTTTTTTCCTCTTCCACAATTTTTGAGAAGTACAGCCCACATACCTGGCATCACATATAAACTGGTAAATTATGGAATTCTGTAGAATAGGCTTGCAATCTTTAGATGTAAAACTTCAAATGTAGATAAGCTACTGGAAAACAATGGAATACCCACCTTGTTATGACTATCAAACCTCTGGGTAAAATTACTTATCCAAGGTAATTTTAAGTAGAATGTTTGACCTCAAAATTTCCTGTTTTACTTAAAATGTGGGCCACATTCCTATCTGCCATTGGCCAAAACCTTGTGTAAATGCATATATAAGTGAGTCTTTTGTGATTGTGAGTTCACATTGGTTTGTCATGAAGGAGTAGGAAACCATCTATGTGAAGACTAGGCAATTATCCATATGTTGGCAGAAGGAATATTTGTTAAATTTCATGAAGTGCATTAATTAGACTCTTCTGTTTTTCCTCATTTTTTTTCCTTCTTAAACTTGTTTATTATTATTGATGACATTCATCTGAAGAGTGTCAATAGAATTTCTTTTGGAATAAATAATGACTCTAGTGGTTGCCATTTTAAAATTTTGTACTTCTAAAATATTATATAAATTTACATGAACAAAACTTATATTATCAATTCAATATCTGTTTGATAATCAAAGTTTCAGGATAAGGTTTATTGTAGATATTTAATCTTTAGTGAGTTTTTGTATTTCATTTCAATAAAAATTTTCAGAATAAAGTTAATTTCAATTAGTTGTTGGTTTAATGTAATGAAAAAGCAAAATTAATTTCAAACACTCATTTAAAGGCTCTGGTATCATTTCTTGCTATAATGTTGGAAAAGCATAGTATTATTTCATATTCAGCCAGTCTATATAAATATCCAAAGCAGAATGTTATTTTATTTTTTTCTGTACTTCTTTATATATATATATATATATATATATATATATATATATATATATATATATATATAATCCTAAATTAAAGTTATAATTAATAATATTCAGACATGAATGTCTCTGCTTGTTCTGTATTTTTGTTGAATGACTTTTGATCTTATTGGAATGTGAGAGACAGAAAATACATGCCTGTTTCAAAAGTAACAATAATGTTCAATTTGTAATATTTTTTCACAAAATTCAAAGATTTGGTAAATGGAAATGTAACTCAATGCTACATTATCAATATTTATTTATCAATATATTTTATTATTTGATAACTTATATTAGCCCTAAATTTTAATTGTGCCTGTCCTCAAAATCTTCATTCTAATATCAGCTCTTCTTGACTGAAAACAAGCTTATATTTATTTTGTGTTCTCTTATCTTTTACAACAGTAGTGACTAGCTACAGATACCTACCTTTCTATTGCCAGTGTTTGACTTACAACAGGTTATGACAATTCTGATGTTGCCTGACTAGTTTATAAGCAGCCACATTGAAATTGAATTATTTTGACTTTGAATTAATGCAGAAGTAGATAATTTTGTAATGTTAATGATATTTACAAATTGATTATACTAATAGTGTAGTATTTATACCTGAAGAACATACATGGGTCTCCCCAACACCTCAGTAAAATTGAAATGCCTGTAAAATCCTTAATCTTTTTTTCTTTCTTTAACTCTCTCTTTCAATCTTTGTCAAATTCATCTTTTTCTTTGAAATTTGAATGACTTTTATTGGTTCCTCACTCCCCAAGAAAAAGCAATTTCTTTTTTGAAGTTACTTCCTATTTTTTGCAGTGTTTGCTTAGATAGGGGTTCATTTTTAACTGATTTTCATGTTGATATTTAAAATTCTAATGAATATTGCAAAAATTATTTTTACTTAGGAACCTTTGTGATAAAGCATTTTGAAAGATATAACTTGTGTAAATTATTAAATGATACATGCAAAATGGCTTAATCATTGGGACATCGGTGAGGGAAAATTTTGAAACCTTGATGCCTGTCATTTGTAAAAAAAAAAAAAAATCTTTGACATAACTGAATATCCTAATTTTGATACATCTTATTCTCTAAAAATTTCAGGCATTATTCACAATGAATAAACATGTTAAGTGCATTGGAAATTACCATCATTTACAGTTGAACTATGGAATTGCAATGACAATTTTCCAACATCCATAGATAATAGCTTAAGTGAGTTTGATAAAAATGTGAGGAAATAATGAAAATAAAAGTAATTGGAATTTTGATGCACAATTATTGCATTATACTCAATTATTTAATGCTTAAATGAAAAAAATAGATTCAATGTCAGCTGTATATTTTTATTGTAGCAATTTCATAACTTTCCCTGGATGTGGTCAACAATTTCTTTTGGAAATTGCAAATATTTAGAGAACTTGAAACAGCGAATAAACTTTAACATGTAAGCAAAAAAAAAGAAAATTCTTAAATGGGTTTAGAAATGATATCACTCCTAAATTAATGTTTCATGATAGTTGTTTTATTATATATATATATATATATATATATATATACAGTATGTTCACACACACTTCAATTTTAACTAAAAAAGCTCCTAGTTTAACATATGGTGCCTTTATCTTTCACTTGGGAATTTTCTTGTTATCTAACTTTTACATTCCTTCACCTGTAACCCAAAACTGTTTTACTTCAACTTTTGATCTTAGGAGGAGTAGGTTGTTAAATTCTTGATTTTCATGAATTTAATAATTTATTTTATACTTCCATTCTTGACTCAGTTCATTTAATTTCATTGCAACTTGGTAAGCAGGATACTCAAAGTACCATAGCTTCAAATGGTAAGATTAGAATTTCAGTTCAAATTCTATAAATGTTGTGTAACTTGTTTAAATGAGTCTATGAACTTTTTTTTTTATATATAAAAAAGCTGAAACTACAATTTGTCTATGTTCACATTTTGTACTAGGAAATGTTTTGTGTAATTAAAACTTATTAAACATAGTATAACTTCAAGAAAATTTACAAATTGGTCCTGATTAAATATGATTAAATGGAAATATCAAGATTAATTTTATGTGCATGTATGAAAATTATTTTTGATTGCTGTGACAATAAATTTCCTATTTTAATATTTACTATTTAAAATGGTAGCAAATGAAAAAATTTCAAGTTTTTTTTATTTTAAAGTTGTTAAACTGAGATTAATTTTCAATTAAAACTTGATCATTATATTGAACTAAGTGTGATCATAAAATTATGCAAAATAACCTGCGGAATAAATAAAAAAGAAGCAATGGTAGAAGTTTTTTTTAATTTTTTTTACAATCTTAACTGAATGTCATCACACTTGTGAATACTATTTCAAATGGATTTCTGATTTAAACAAAAGAACCTAGAGACTGTTTTGGGAACATATTTTCCCTGTCAATACTTTTAAATTTCTGGTTATATTTTTCACATTGAATTCTTTGCTTACAGTAAAGCAGCAACCTGGTTCCAATATTAAAAAACAAAGAACTATTGCACAAGGTCAGGTTTCATTTTTGTATTTTGCAAAACAAATGTGACATAGCAATATGTCATACTATCATCACCAAAACGAACATATTTATGTAAATCTAAAACTCCTATTTATAAGTTCTTAAAGATGGGTGAATATTTAAATGACATGTTAGCGTGCATCCTTTCTAACAATCAAATATGGCTGAATGTTAATCAATTAAAACAGTGCTGTGATGAAAAAAAAAAAAAAAGGGAAATATAAGGAAGAAGCAAATTAAAAAAAAAACAAACACCAAGTATAAGAGAATGGTACAAAAATTTAAAATAGAAAGTAAAATTGAAAACACAAGGTGAAGGATAATAAAAATATTTAAAATATTATCAAAATGATGGAGAACTTTACTTTTCATCATTTCACAGGGAAGGGTGAGTGAAAAAGGAAAATGGAAATGTGAGAAAACTTACAGGAAAAAAAAAAAACAGTGAGTGTACATTACCAATCTAAGTTAATCTGTTTTTAACAAAGAAAAAAAATACAGTTCTCTACTACCTTGACATAGGCAGGACTGTTCTCAAAAGTTCAATTTTTTTTTCTTAACCAGCAATGTTGAGATACCACTTAGAATTAACACCTCTCATTTGGTATAGATGCATTATTTTCATTCATCTTTTGCCAAAGTCTACTGAAAATAGCTTCATTATCTTTACCTCAAATGCTTAAAGTTACCAACTGCTGTGAGGAGAAAATAATAAATCATCATGAACTTACTTCATTTGAGTCATTCATGACACTTTGTTTCATGATTATCAAAACCAAAATATACAGTGCTGCTGCTTATGCACTAAGATGACATTGCTACACAATGGCATTCTAAAGCAAAAAAACTGTCCTAGAAACCTGTAATGCAGATGGATCTTGATATTTAGCATTCCTAGACTGTCTTTAAAAGGATGGCAGAAATGGATCTCATGAGACCACAGGGGCCTTGTAATCCCAAA